GACTACACCTTTTTCAACTACCTTTTCATCCCTCTTTTTATCCTTGTCCTTCCTCTTAAATTTAACCTCCTTTTGCCAAGACCCGATCGTTGACAGAGGTACGACGATCAAGTAAGGTCCAAATTGTTCCTTTTCGTGGTATAGGTATGAAAGGAATGAAATGGTTTGGACAGTTTTTCCGAGACCCATCTATATATTAAAATAAAGTATAAATTAAAATGATATTATCATAGCAAAAAAAAAAAAAATTAATGAATGACAACGATTAAGAGCGTAAATACCTCATCAGCAAGTATGCCGTTCCCATTTTTAGCCCATAAATGAGCTAACCAATTCAATCCAGTTAGTTGAAAATCCCGAAGTTCGCCCCCAATGAGGTAGCAAGGTTGTGATGTTAATGGTTTAAACGCGGGACGATTCTTGCTGTATAATTTGCTTTTAGTGGGCACTCGTAAATTATTATTACGTTTTTGAAAAGCATCAATTTCTGATTGAAAATCTCTTATTTTTGTCTCATCAAATGTCTCCCAAGTGCAATCTTGGTAGGGGAGACGTTTGAATTTACATAAATATTCGGTATTTGGCAAAGGATTCTCCTCGGTTGGAGACGAGGTTTTCTCCGCTATAATTCGTTCCACTGTCTTATAATCTTTTAATATATCTCTAAACATTTCCATCTTGACGTCATTCGTTTCTTTATCTTCCGGACTTTCTAATAATGCTTGCTGCTCTGCTTCATAGTTCTTGATAAAGTTTTCCAACTTCTTGAATCCTTTTAGGCCTCGGAGATTTTCATAAGATTCCCATGTATTATGCAAATGACTCCAGCTCTTCCATTTAATAAAGAATTCCATATTTGTTCTCGGATTCGCTGGTCCATTATCTTTTAAAATTTAAAAAAGTTATTGATTTAATGATTTAAAACTATATCAAAGTAGCAAAGCAGGATGAATCAATGAACAACATACCTATACCCTCTATCTTCCTTATATCGTGAATGCTTTCAATTACATTTTCCTCTAAAGTATAAAAAAATGAATTATTTCACTTGTGGGTATTTGCAGACAAAAGTAAATAAAATTCTTGATTATCATCATCCTTACCTTCTTCGGGTTGAGCATATTCATCAATTAGCACATCATCCTCATAGACTTCCAACCCAAGTCGTTTATCAATTTCGTCTTCGTTATAATTTGTGATTGTACGGGCACGCCTTGAGTATCGTTTTTCCATTATAAAGTCGTTAGCGTTAAGGAATGTGTTTTTCTTTTGCCTTGATGATGTTGATGTTGAAACATTCTTTGAAGAATGCCACTCTGGATCGTCGGTGTCATTTGTAGACGAAGTATCTTTATTAGTCTGAGGAGAAGAAGCAAAGACACTGTCTTCATCGTTCGAATTAGAAGCGGAGTTATCCCAAACTATTAAGGAAATATTTAAAAAGTGTTATGGTTTATTCAAGATAAAAAGTTTGTCTGACAAATGTTCGATGAAAGGTTTGAGGAATTTAGCATTGCATATCGTCGTAAATTCTTACCAAGGGATTTTAAAGTTTTTGACTTTTTCTTTGGAAGGATTTTCTTTCCTACCATCAAGGTCTTCTTACGTTTTCTTGATGTAATAGAAGGATCGAGTTCATCACCATCAGTATCTTCTTCTGAAGTTGAAGGTAACTAAGATGTTTTTAGAATGAAGAAATAACATTAGTATTACAAACCGACAATTCGTTATCGTTTACGCAAGTATCAATATACCTTGTAACTGACAGCACGAGAAGTACTAGCCATGCGTCGAGATCTACGCAAGCCATACAATTCAGGGTCAAGTTCCATAAATTCTGAACCTAAAAGGTGGAGGTGGTATAATGGAATATAAATTAGCAAAGAACTACACTATACTTGTCAAAAGTTCGAAGAGATTTCTAAATTTCTAAGGTTCAAACTAAGTGAAAGGTAAAGCAAAATATTGTATATGAAAACAAGAGTATTTGCGCGCTTTAGAGGAAAAGAAGGTAAACGCACGTGTAAAAAGTTTTGAAGGGTTAAAATGTGGATTTATAGAAGCAAATAATAGTAGAAAACACGATAAAAAACAAAATTCTAAAAAGGTTGTGTCACATATAAATTAATAATGTTGAAGATGGTGAAGATGATCGAAATAGAAAAGAAAGGTAGGTGTTGAAAAGGGGAGAATATAAAGTATAATAGCTAAAGAGGTAGACAAAATATTGAAGAAAAAACCATAGAAATTAAGGAGATTTCAAAAAGAAGTTATAAAGTAATACTTTGAAGCAATATATAATAAGGGAAGGTAAAGGCAAAAGGAGGTTAAATTTAAGAGGAAGGACAAGGATAAAAAGAGGGATGAAAAGGTAGTTGAAAAAGGTGTAGTC